GAAAGTTTCCGTATTTTTTTTAGAGTGTGTGATTTCTATGCGAGAATATTAGTATCTTGCGCTTTATGTCGCTTCAAGTCGCGCCTTATCGTGTTAGCTCTACTGGTTTCTCGCCACACATCAAAGGAACATAATAGGCAAATACGCAAACTAGTAAACCGTCCACACTATGGTAATAATCATTATTTTAACGCCTTATTTAGCTCCATGTGTAGACATACATATATTTCAGTGTTAGCATGTTTGTCAGTACGTCAAACAAAAAAGGTCCCATTTCTCTCTTGAGATTGCTCAATGCATTAGTGAAGTTAGAGCATGAACAGTCGAGAGATTCAACAGATACGGAAAGACATTAGGAGTACATCGATGATGATTATTTGATTCAAACACAATTAGAACTTTTGCATAAAGAAATTTGCGTCGGATTCTTTTTAGAAAAACTTCGACTTATAAATTCGAAACTTATAAATTACACATAACTTTCGTTTTATATTTTGAGCGAGATTGTACTTTACTATTAAGTCAAGTAAATTTGCCTACAGGCTGTTTATACTGGTTGAATTGAATATGGCCACCTATATAAACAACTCTCTTGATCTTATCAGTATGACAAGTTAGTATGACCACCATTGACTTACAATTATATGGACGTCGGGTCCGCGCTAAAAAGTGTCCGCACTTGTAAGGCGCTAAAATCGTATACAGAGCGCGACACTCCGCTTTAGTCTTCATTTGTTCTACGGACAGCGTGATACTGCGATGACATAACAATTTAAATTTCGAATAGGTTGACTTGGGACATTTTTTTTCGTGGTTTTTGTATTAGACCCGTCGTCCATTTATTTGTAAGTCAATGATGACCACCAATAAACGGCTTATTTTTCCAAGTACATCAAACCAGATAACAAAAAGTAACGAGAATGAAAACCCTTCAACCTTCCCTAGCTTTAGATACCGCACTACGTCCCGCACATTGACGGTCACATTGATTGAATGACAACAAGGCTGTCGGCGAGCCGATTTCGTTTGATATTTGAATAGTTTTCATTTATTCATTACGAAACTTGTACAGTACGTTAATATATAACATCATTGTACGTTATTATTTATAATGGTCGTGAATTGTGTTGTGTACGGCTGTTTATCGTCATCTAAACGGGATAAAAAGAGGAGTTTCTTCCGTTTTCCGTAACATGAAACGAATTAAATAAAAACTTATGTCTGAGACTCATTCAGTTATTGTTTTATATAGTGCAGATTTATTACATCAATATAATAAGAAGCCATGAGTTCGTGAGCTAGTAGATAAGGATTCTCGACTTTTCAATTTGTATTGCCGATAAATATCACGTAGTGAATATGCCTAATTATTAACTAGGTAATTAAAAAGTTACCTTATTTAGAAGTAACCTTTCCAAAATATACCATTTTGAGTGTTTTTAATATATTTTTTAAAATAAATCTTCGATATTATTTTATTTAGTGAATTAATGAAAACTATAATATATTATCGATATAAATACCTAATGAACATGTGTAATTATTAAGATTATAGTAATAGAATTATAGATAAAAGATTCGCGCTGGAATTTTCGCTATGTTGACGTTGACCACGTAACGAATAGTACGAGAAAGTGATGGGTAGCCCTGTCACTTCACGCACACATTTGCGTGTGTACACATAGCGCATGGAGTGTTTGGGGTGTGATCAAACACCCACTAACGAACATAAGTAACCATGTTAAGTGCCGCCATCAAGTTCTGCTAATTCGGTCTTGGTTAAGAGCGGTGGTAACTGACACTGCTTCGAGTCCAGTCAGATTGTAAGAATTTTTCTTTGTGTGCCATCTTTGTATCATTTATATGGCTCGCGGCTATGGAATGGAATTCCATGCTTTCAAACTTGTTCCCTGAACGGTATAACTTGGGCCTTTTCAAGGCGAGAGTGAATAGGCATTATTTAAGTGAGCATGCTCATCGTCACTTTCCATCGCGTGGGTTGGAGGCCAAATGCGTACTTGTTAAAAAAATGAATAATACTACCAAACTAGTGGTATTTTCACAAAAAAATATATGAAAATAATGGTAGTATATAAAAATCAATTAATCATTTTTAAATATATTATAATAAACATTCAATAAATGTTTATTAAATATATTTAACAAGTGTAAAGTGTTTGATTAATCAATTAATTTCATAATTATTTGTCTCAATATAAATTACTCTTATAAATTAATGACAATTTAAATTACTATCTAATAAAAATTATAATAAGACATAAATGTTGTTAGCGTTCTTTGTAAACGCAAAACGTATCAAGCGTTGTAAATGTACACTCGGCTATCAAAAGCTAATATCATCTTGACCATCTCTCACTTCTGCCATTCTTTGTATGCACCTGCTGTTTAATAAGAAAATATATCCTGCCGCTTACAATAATAACGCATAGAATGATAATTTCATATCAAACGAACTGTCACAAGTGAGGCAAAAATCAAATTCATGTAGGCTAGTTTTAGTAGTAGGTTAAGTTTCGGTTTTAGTGAATATTTATATAAAAATACAAGTTGAAACGCGTTACTTCCTTGTGGAATGTGATGTTAGTATCTATTTTATGTTTGTCTGGCGTATTTTTACACTCATTTACAGCACATTTCGTCATTTTTAGCTAAAATTCTTGATCTGTTCGCGGTGCAACTTGACCTTGAGCACTGAAGGCCCGCCCGCTCGTGTAGGCCCATTGGGAGCGCTTCAATTTGCCTCACTTAGCGTGTGCGGACTAGGTTTTTATGCGTTATTATTCTAAATCCTGCCGTATATTGTGAATCCAATGTTGTTTCAATTATAAACCAACAAATGTACCTATAATATAATAATAATTGTAGAAATAATGATGCAATGTCTATGGTACTTGATTATTTATTTAAGTTTGAAATGTTTCTATGCAATTAGTTTAATTTGCTACGCCCTTACAGGGTAACACATGTACCTACTACAATCTTAACCTGTACTATACATGTGAATTGCAATAAATTAATATGAATAGGTACATCGTTCTTCATATCAAACAGTTTTTATGTATCTGGATGTTGGAGTATGTACGTTATTAAAAAAAATGTACTAGGTATAGTCTTTGCTCAAATGTATTTATGAATTTCGCCACTTTATTATTAGTGCCAATACTATTATTAATTAATTTAATTATTTGATAATTATTAAACAATTATATAATAATTATTAAAGGTTTTTCTACAGTAAGGAAAAAGTGATCGTTTATTATTTTAATGGCAAATTAGTACCTTTCAAATGTATTTGTTTATTTCAATTTATTTATTTACTTTCTAGTTACTAGAATCTAGTAGACAGTATTTTGAAGTGTTCAGGTATTTTTGACTTAAACTATATTCAATGAAGTTTATAAGGGAAATGTTACAGAAGCGAGCAATACATCTCTTAGATAAAACTAGGGCGAAAAAAATACTCGAAAACTTAACAGACTGTCTGGGAAACCCAAAGGCCGGCTACCTTGCCCAATGCATTAGCATAGCCATACAAAGGGAGAACGCTGCCAGCATCTTGTTTTACTTTTAAGTATTTAAGCTTTTATTGTACTTTACCTGTGTGTTATGATAATTAAATATTTGCAAACTAGGGTATATGAAACATTAATAAGTGTATTATGCATCAGGAGTGCATGATACGCTCCAACATAAACTCTTACACCAATATAAATAACGCACATAGCCATAGCCACGCACTAGCGAAATCCTGTATCGCGTGTGCCATGAACACACACAAATTACACCTAAACGTACGAGAAAAATAAAAGTAGGCGACACAAATATTTCTTCCGGCCCGGGAATCAAACCCGGGACTTCTGCATGGCAGACCAGTACGGTAATGAGCAGCGGCCACGGAGGCAGTTAACATAAAAAAATAAATTAAAAAAATTTTTATTCCTTTTTTTTGGTAATTTCAAATGTTTTTATTAATGATTAAGTATTACAGAAAGAAAACATTTTTTCAAACAAACCATCGTCTAGGGCAATTTTACAGGTCTTATGGTGACTGATAATTGAAAAAAAAATAGTTTAATTTTTAATTTGTAGTAGGTAAAACTGAAAACCTAAAGTTTCTCTTAAAAATATTTTGTTTTTCAGGAAGAGCGGGCTTTTCTAGCAGATTTTGTTTTGTAAACTTGAAAGTTTCTTCATTAGAAGAAATAAAAAACGGCGATTACAACATTAGTAATTTGTGATTAATGTTTTAAGTGTGCATGCTCCATCGTCGATCTAATCGTCACTTTTCATCAAGAGTGACGGAGGTCAAATGCGCATTTGATATTTAAAAAAATGTTTTTGACACAAATTATTAAAAAATTTAAAATGCGCTCGTAATATAGTAATTTCAACATTTTTTGAAATAAATATGTATTTAAACACATAGGACGTCGCATATACATATTCAGCCACAGTTCGTAATATTAACAAACATCCGATGAAAAACAAAACAATAACACAAGACATCAACATCAACATCAACAAGTCACAAATTAATAATAAAAAAAAACGTTTTAAAAATACTTATTGGATTACAGAGACTAAAGTTGAAATCTTTAATTACAAAATTAATAATAACGCACACACTCAGCATAGCCCCGCATTAGGGAAACCCTGTTTCGCGGGTGCCATGGACACACACATAGACAATCACAATTTACACCTGAACTAGAGAGAAATAAATGTAGGCCATACAAATATTTCTCTCGTCCCGGGAATCGAACCTGGGACCTCTGCGTGGCAGTCCGGCCGTTTGGCCACGGAGGCAGTTAATTGTGTTACCTATCTAACAAAAGGTACAACTTAACTTATATCAAATGGTGTTTGTTACGGAACATGTAGTTACAATTAATACGTAATCGACACCTATATACGTAATAACAATAAACTTGTACCCCTGAATTGTTAATTATGCAGCCCTTGTGAAAAGTTCAACTTGCCTGTAGTCAAGATCCATGGCTTCAAAGTTGTAAACCGACGAATACATTCCAGCAAGGAAAACAGGAAACAAAATCAAAATAAAATTAAAAATATTAAACCGCCCGAACGGTCCTAACACTTGTAATATGTCATCTACAGATACATCTGCGTTTTGTTTTTTTTCCACATCCATTTTTATGTTTATATTTTTTTAACACAACACTGTATTTTCATTTACTCTTCTACAACTTTAAAAAAACATTTTTATAAAATTCGTTATTTAAATTTTAAAACAAAATATTTTATTCATCGAAGTGACGTACGAGTTATTTAAAAGTTTCAACCGATATCGGGACGTGATCGACGCGTGCACAGCGGTGATCACTCGACCGATAATGAGCACTGTTGCTCATAATATTGCTTTTTATCCAACTGATGTACGTTGGTTCCTTAGCGCTTTTCATTATAAGGGCTTTCTTTGTTTAACTACGGGCAATATGAAAAACTGAATGGTTTATTTACATTTTTGAAATTTTTTCCTTTGCGAGAGTTTTTTCTTCTGTTCCAAGTCATTTTGTCCACAAGATGTCTTATACGACCTTTAGGGGAGTTATTGATGAATTTTTAAAAATATTTTTTCTGTTGACTAAGGAAGTATTTGCTAAAATAGTTCACAAATCAGAAATAGAGGTGGGTACTCGTGGGCTTACCCGTAATTACTAATTTAACTACAAAGTTGTTATCCTAACATCCAAACCAGAAACCAACTGAGGAAAGTTCGGTTCACAAAACGACTCTATGCCGAATAGAGCTTGGGAATTTGTAATGTCCCGTCAAATATTTTAACTACTAATCCTGGAGGCTATTGAAATATAGTTTATATTCTAGCATATGTCACTCTATGTTTTATACATATAATAATAATAATAATAATAATAAACATTTATTTCAGACGTGACAAATTCATAGAATGACAAACGTTTTGAATTAGAATTAAATAACATTAACAAATTATTACATATGTACAATACAATACAATTACTTATTTAATAAACCGAGATCCAATGTCCTAGTATGGACGAATTACAACTACAGCAGCTATAATGCTATTTGTACTGTCTAGCACTCTCTGTTTAAGAGAAGAAACCCTCTCTCTATGCACAGCAGCGAACTCGTCGGTATGTTTACATGCTAATGAAATGATATCAGGATGCACTACAAATTTGTAGCGCATCCTACAATATCTTGGCAATGTAAACATGGCTCTAAATATATCATTATATTGAACGCGGATGGCATTGCAGATCGACTGCATGCGGTTAATACGTAAAGTCGTTATCAACTTCATGCAGTAGAGGTCTCGGATAACGACTTCACGCATTAACAGCATGCAGTCGAAACCGACTTCATGCATGCAGTTAATGCGTCAAATCGGTATCAACTTCATGCAGTCGTGGTCTCGGCTGTATGAAGTTGATTACGACTTCACGCATTAACTTTTTTTTAAATATAATATCAAGTGCGGGACGAACGAGTCGTGAAACTACACGCCAGTCAATAGTTGCAGTGCCACTCAGAGCTTTAAATCGCAAAAAAAACAGTAAAGGGTAATAAAACGTACTACGCATTACTAACAATAATAAATGACACTTACCTACCAAGTATTGGTTTATTATCTTACCTGAATTATCCCACTAATAATTTAATATCATTCTTATATTTTCTATTAATTATGCCACTATATCTGTATACTTCAATTTCACTATTACTAATGTTATTTGTTTTTTAGAACAAGCACTATGCATAATTGTAAGTACTCATATCCTAAATGGTTAATTCAAAATTTCTGAAAATTGGTTTTTATAATGCTGGGTCTCTGGGTATTAAACACGATGAGTTGCAGTTGGCTGTTGGTAAAAGACGTGGTTGCGGGTAGGGGAGGAGGGGCGTGCGCCGACGGTGAGTGGCTACCAACTGCGGCACATACCCCGAGCAACTGCTCAGCGTCAGGAACGTGGTGGTGGTGTAGGTTTCTACATAAAACGGGGCATTAATGCTCGTACGCTGCGTCATCCACCTTCCCCTGCGGAGCAGATGTGGCTTGCTGTCAATATAAAAACTATTCATCTTTTGGTGGGCACTGGCTATAGACCTGAGTGGTTCAATGTGGATGATTTTTTCGATTCTTTGACGGAATCATTTTTCTCCTTTGGTAGCTACAATCATGTGATATTAGTGGGGGATTTTAATATAGATTGGCATTTAATATAGTTGGAATCAATTCCAACAGTATGAAGACCAAACGACTTAATCAATTTTTGATTGTACAAATCTTTCATATCATTAAATGATTATGACTAGTATCAGGTTTCTTACCATGGTATGATTTCTTTTTATTTTCCCGATATTTCGGAACGGTTACACGTTCCATGGTCACGGGTTGATAAGTCAGCCCGTGACCATGGACTGAAACCTGATACTAGTGATAATCATTTAGTGAATAACCACGAAAGTCTTAAAATCTCTCAAATCATGTTAGTGAGCCAATACACTTCACTTCAACAACTGCTACTTCGATAGATTTGGTTTGTTCAGATGCTCCGCTCCTACAGGTAGATGTAGATCATAGTCCTGAGCTCGGTGGCCATGCAATTGTTATGACTGAATTTAAAATAAAACGCCCAAAAACTTGCCCTAAAGTAATTTCATGTCGACCAATTAAAAGTATTGATTTGAAACGGTTCGACACTGATCTCGAGAGGATAGACTGGGATGGGATAGTTGAAATGAGTGACGTGAATGAAATGGTAGCATATTTCAATGCTTTTATTATACATTTAATGGACAAACACGCCCCAGTGAAGCAAGTTGTAATTAGGGATAAGCAACAACCGTGGTTTACTGATAATGTTCGTCATATCATGAAACTCAGAGATGATGCACAGCATCAGTACCGTATCACCAATAGTGATACACACAAAAATCAATACAAAATTTTGAAACACCTTGTTAATGCCGTCATTCATCCCTTAGTTTGCCACCCTTAGAGGTGAAATACTTTCTTCAAATTTAAATGGGACCACATCTGAGGTACTCTTTCCAATAAAGAAAGAATCATCAAAATCGGTTTACAAATTTATCGAGTTAACGTGTAATATACTCGTACATACCAAAAATCTCCTCTCCTCTCCATCATTTTTGAAGTCGGTTAAAAATCTGAGGGGCACTGCCACTGCCCGTCACCCTGAGACATAAGTTGACAAGTGCCATGTGCCTGCAATTTCACCAGCATCCTTACACCTGCTTACACAGCTAATATTACTGCTTGGTGGCAGAAATAGGTAAGGTGGCAATATTTCCTTCGACGAACTCTTTTCCAACAAGCTCTACTTCTGCTAACTGCGAACATAATAGTCAATCTGTTAGCAGCCTAAGACCCTGCGCCCGTGTACAGCCGGCACTTTGGGGTCTCATAACGGTATATTTAATGTTTTTGATTTTGTTATTTCAAAATAATAAAATAAAAAATGCAGTAAGCTTGAACTTTTAGGCAAGATACTACCATAGAAAATTATATATGGTTCTATCGTAGTATACATTAAAATTTGTTTGTGTTCTTTAGAGAATAAGCAAAGACGTTGTCCTACTCACATTGCGATCAATTTGACGTACACTGTTTGAATGATCAAATATGTTTTTTAAATATTTTTTTCTTCATAGTACGATTTTAACTTTAGTATGTAACGAATTAAGAGACAAACGGCCAATACGGCCGTTAGTTTTTTTCACCGTCATTAATAACTTTCAAAGTACCTTTGACTGCCATTTTCTCCAAACGAGGTTCCACCGACTTAATGCGTTCTTTCTTAATTCGGAGATGTAAAAGGATCTATTTCCTTAATAAAAACGGGCACGGTGCATGATTAAAATTGCCTGTAATCGCATTCCGTCTATAAACATGTATTTTTGATTATTGGGGCTAGAAAAGTCGTAATTATGAAAGAACGTATACAGTATCTTTAAAATACAATAACAGGTTTTTTTTATAGTAGTCGCAGCGAGATTCACACAAGATTTTACAGCGTCCAATTGTACAGTCTGTGTCAACGTAAAGTCATAGTGTGTCATGTAGTTATGCCACCGTATTGTCTGTCATAGTATGTCTATTGTATTATTCATATCAAGCAATTATAGACGTATAACAATGATAGAGGGTTGCGACATTGTTGCGACCTGCAACACAGTGCCTCTATCCATATCCACACAAGCAGAGGTGGTGTACCCTTCGTCATCAGAGCATCATCTGCATCCTTTCCAAGGCTAGGCGTTACTTCTCACCGGGACAGTTGCTTCAGCTGTACAAAGTACAAGTCTAGTCGTGTACGGAGTACTGCTGCCATGGTTCTGCTAAATAAACAACTGGCCACCTTGCATTTAGTTGAAAAGCGTGCCGAAAGGCCTTTAAGTGACTCGGATTTAGTAGAAGCGCAACTGCAGAGCCTTGAACACCGCCCTAAAGTTACTTGCCACCGGTAGGTAGATATTAATAATAATAATAACGCACACACTCAACATAGCCCCGCACTAGGGAAACCCTGTGTGACGGGTGCCATGGACACACACATAGACAACCACAAATTACACCCAAACCCACGAGAGAAATAAATGTAGGCCATACAAATATTTCTCTCGGCCCGGGAATCGAACCTGGGGCCTCTGCGTGGCAGTCCGGCATGGTAACCGTTCGGCCACGGAGGCAGTTAAATATTCTACAAATTATATGACGGAGAGTGTGCGATGGAATTGCCCGATTTAATACCGCCTTCCCCTTTCCATCGCCGGGGGACTAGACGAAAGATTGAGGTCCTACTCCTATGATGTGAAAATTCTAAGGATTCGCATGAAGTGTTAAACTTCCACATTTGTAAGGCGAACGGCTATGGAGTGCAATCCCCTACCTGCAGACTTCTTCCCTGAACGCTACATCTTGGGACATTTCAAGGCAAGTGTGAAGTAGGCATTATTTTGGTGTGCATGCTCCATGGTCAACCTCAATGTCAGTTTCTGTCAGGTGAGATGGAGGTCAAATGCGCACTTACATTTTATGAAAAAAAAAAGAGGAGCCGAGAACCGGCAACCTCAGCAAGTGTTAAAACTTTTTGCCTTTTGCTGTGATGCTTAGACGGTCCCAGG